CAGGAAATGTAGGTGGTATCAAAACAAAAGATATTAATAAGAATTATTTTTTTAAAAAATTAAATGCTCTGAATCTAAGAGGAAAGAAGGAGGTATCAGGCACTGTTCCTTTCTTGTATTCTTCAAGTTATGGGATCTTTTTCTGTGTTACATCTTTTGGTCAATGATTCAGGAATTTAGATGTGTTTTGGGGGTAAGGATGAATTCAGTTCAGTCCACTGCAAGAATTTCTTAAGCATCTACTATGCATAAGGCATATATTAAATACTAGAAAAAAATGAAACAATCCCTTGTCTTAAGAAGCTTATATTTTGTTAGAGGAAAATAATATGTAAACAGGTAATATAAAATCTCTATATAAAGTAAATAAAAATAATTTGGATAAAAGTAAATAAAAAGTATTTTTGGGTAGAGTGCTAACAGCTGAGAGGAAGTTTAAAAAAAAGGTTTTATATAGAAGGTACCACATGAGTTGAGTCTTAAAAAGGACTAAAGATTTTTTTTTAAACAGGAAAATATAATTTATTTACACCAGCAGCCATGGAGGATGGGGAGTACACAGCGTTTACAAAGTTAGCTACCTGTACAAGATGGATTATATATGCAAAAATAAAATTTCAAAACCACAGGACAGCAACACTGCCTCCCTCCCAATGGCCCCAGAATGCATTAATACCAGGCAGGTGGCCCCTGGGCATGCAGGGGGGAGTGATGCATGGAAGGAGAAAAACCACCAGCCACACAAAAAATCAATACAGAACCCTCACACACATACTTAGACACACGATAGGCTACAGGATAGACAATACATCTAGCTAGGAACTTGAGGAAGGATGGAAAGCATAATTCACATAGGCTGTTACTAGAGAAAGGGAAGAGAGAGGTCTGGGAAGCTCCTAGTCCAGCAGTTAAAGGGCAATAAGCCCCCCTTCCCCAAAGGGAAAGAAATTGTTCCCTAAAGATCCCAGCAGGGCCAGGCTTATCTCAGATAGGGCTACAGATTCGAAAAGGTAGAGGTGAGGATTCCAGGTATGTGCATTCCAGGTATGAGGGACACTTGAGTAAAAACTCAAAGGTGCAAGCTGGAATCTAGCGTGTAGAAAAATTCAAGTAGGCGAGGTTTTTTTCTCCTTTTTAAAAAATGTTCAATTTTTGTTTTCCATTCCAAATTCTCTCCCTCCCTCAAGCCCTCCCCCACCCAATGGGAAGTCAATAAATATGTTGCCCATTTATATATATACATACATATAGATAGATAGATAGATCATCCAAAACATTTCCATGCTAGAGAAAAAGAAGCAAGAAAAACTAAGAAAGAGGGAAAAAAATTATGCTGCACTCCACGACTCAGAGTCCATCGTTCTCTCTCTGGAAGTGGACAGTATTTTACATCATGAGACAAGCAGGCCAATTTGGCTGGAACACAGAGCATGTGCCAGGAACTAGATATATCATTTCATTTCCTCTGCTAATGTAGGTTGGTCATTTCTCTGCAACTCGAAGTCTTAGAGAGTTGTCTAAAACACTGGCCTGCCTGACTTCCTTCCTTCCTTCCTTCCTTCCTTCCTTCCTTCCTTCCTTCCTTCCTTCTTCCTTCCTTCCTTCCTTCCTTCTTTCCTCTTCCTCCTCTCCCTCTGTCCACATAGGGAATCATACCCTCATCTGTGGGGCTCTGCCCAAAGGAATATAATTTTTGACCACTGAAACCCTGCAAGATATCTTGGAGTTTATGGACTAGATTTCTTCATTTCTCTTTCCTACTTATTTATTCTGTCATTTAAAAAAAAAACATGCCTTAAACCCAGGTCACTTTGGGTCTTACTGATGGGTCCCAGTCCAATCCTCACTAGGTCATTGTTTGGGTTTTGATGGTTCAGAATGAATGTAAATAACAATTGTTTCTGTTTTGTCCAGAAACCCTGAGGGTTTTCCCCTCCCAGATTGAATTTGTATTTTGATTAGGTAAAAGAGGCCATTTTTTGCCTTATTTCTCACCTAGCCTTAATCACTGAATGGTTGTTGCTGAAGACAAACTGAGATGTGGGAAAGACCTTAGCTTAAAAGGGCCAGGGTCTCCCACTGCATCCTGGGACATCTCCAGTCATCCTGATCTATATCTGGCTACCGGACCCAGATGGCTCCGGAAGAGAGAGTGAGGCTGCTGCCTTTGCATAGCCCTTCCTCACTTAAATCCAAATCACTTACAAATCATGGCATCATCATCTTCCTGATGTTATGGTCCTCTTCAAGAACAAAAAACAAACAATAACAACAAAACACTGAGACGCTGGGTGACTTGCCCAGGGTCACGCAGCCAGAGCCAGTACTTGAACCCAGCTTTTTCAACCTCAAGGCCAACTTTCTATTATGTTATGCTAACTCTCATCATATGAAATTAGTTTGGCAAGACAGGCGAAGCCTTTGAATCTCCAGTAACTAGCATGGTGTCCGTCACATAGTGTGTCCTTAATAATGTTTATTAATTGGTTCCGCTGATTGATTAAGCCTTACTTCAGAAGATGTCTGCAGAGTTGAGCTGACGACCTGACATCAGATTTATTCTCCAGGATGGGGTACCAGAGAACCATGGGGCAACCCTATGGCAACATTCCACAGGGACATGATACCAGGCAAGGTCTGTCGACATTTCCAGGCCTAGACTATTTTTTAAAATTAATTTATTTTGATTTATCAACAATCACTTGCATAAGCTTTTGAGTTTAAAATTTTTCTACTCCTCCCTCCTCAAGATGGTGTACAATCTGATATTTAGTCCTAGACTATTTCTAATTCCCACCTGGTGGTAGGACTACTGGAATTTCTGAGTCCTGAACCTATTTGAGTGCCTTTAAATCTGGCAGAGAAAAGGGGCATCTGATGAGCCATGCCTTGATTCTGCTGAGAGGCTGGGATGTGGTTTGTGGCAGTCAGAAGGTATAGCCGCTAGTAACTTGAGTCACAGAAGAGCTCGGGTGTTGCCTGTTCCCTATGGCGACATAAGAAATGGTCCTTTCCATCTGAGGTGTTTCTCTCCTCCAAACCTATGCACCTATCCCTTCTATCAAAGGCTCTGCTGAAGCTTTTTTCCAAAGAACAATGCGTACCTGGTAGCCTAAAGGTCATCCTGCCTATTGTCTCCCATTCACCAAGAGTTAATTATGGGAACGAGGTGGAGAGATGAAGGCAGAGCAAGAATCTGCTAGCAGAACCTCCTAGTCTAAGGCCCCCCCAAAACTGCCAAAAGATCATGGTTGGTCCTGCAGCCCTGCCTGTTCTATTTATTTCTGTCTGCAACATAGCAATGGCCAAGGTACCCCTGGCTCTCTGGGAACCTGGGGGGGGAAGGAGCAGTACACCAGGTATGGCGGTTCTCTGCTCTGCCCACATGGGGAGACCCTCGCCAACCAAAACCAACAAGCAACAAGCTCGGTACAGCCCTGGGGAGGGAAGGGTTAGCAACTGAGAAAGTCAATCTGTTCTCTTAAAAATTTGGGAAGCTGGGCAAAACAGCATGATGTCTGAATGGTTCTAATTCCCTCAGGGAGCTGCTGTAACTATTAGTCACAGCCTCAGAGAAGAAATCTTGACTATAAATAAACGACAATCAACAAATGACATGATTTTCTCACCAGAACTTCCAGAACTTCTGAGTAGACACCTCCTTTATGTCAGCACACAGCTGCCCACTTAGCTTAGCTGGAGAGGCTGAACTGATCCACTTAATATACAGTTAACTAGGAGCCCCAGCCAAACAGGTATTTATTAATTGGGGGAAAAAAGTAAAATTTTTTAAAGAGACTAAAACTTTGGAGCCAGCTGATATTAAATTGGATCCACGTGGCAGGCAGAGATGGTGATCTTTGAACCTCGGTGTTGAAAATGGGATCTATGTGAGAGCAATGATTCTAGGGGCCTCCTAGAACCCCAAGAGGGTTTTCAAGGAAATGAGGAGCAAAGATGGAGTCACAAGTGTGGGCTGGCCTACCCATACAGTGAGGCATCTTGGCAGAGAAAAGGAAATTAGAGAAGTAATAGCAAGGATAGGAGAAGTGGTATAAAAACATTTGTGGCTAGGAGAATCTGAGATATTATTTGACATTAAAATGATAGGATCATAGATTTTGAGCCAGAAGATGCCTCAGAAGTCACCTAGAACAACCCCTTCATTTTACAAATTAAGAAACTGAGGCCAAGAAAGGATAAGTAACTTGCTCATGATTATCATCTACAACAGCTAGCATTTATACAGCACTTTAATGTTAGCACAATGCTTCACAAATATTTTCTCATTTTATGCTCACGACATAAAATTGGAGGTAAGTGCTATTATTCTTGACATCAAGTTGCAGGTAAATGCTATTATTATCTCCCATTTTATGGATAAGGAAACTGAGTCAGACAGAGATTAAGTGATTTGCTTGGGGACAGACAGGTGCTAAGGGCCTTCCTGACTCTGGGTCCCACACTCTAACCACTATATCATCTAAACCTAGAGGCTTAGATTAAGTATCTATGAAGTGACAAAGCTAAGATTTTAGTCCAGCTCCTCTGACTCCTAATCTACTGCCTTTTCCACTGTACCATACTTCTGCCTCATTAAATGAAAATATCTAATTAGACTCATGAAAACTGGTGTTACTACTTAGTGAATGGCATGCATGCTCATTGATGATCAATGGACTTTTTTTGACTACCATATGTAGAGACCATATTTCTTCAATGCATGGTACAAAAACTAGAATGTGGGACTTGAGGTAAAGAAGATCTGAGTTTAAATCCCCTCTCTGACTGTTATTGGCTACATGAGTAAGGACAAGTCACTTAACCATATTGAGACTCAGGCAGAAGGAGTTCCAGCCCTGATCAAAGTATTTGACAAGTCCTTCATGAACTTGACAACATAGCACCAGTTCAAGATCCCACTACAGATCCTAGATACTGGCTTGGCTTAGAAATTGAAGAGTGAGTCCTATCCAAAGCTGCAAAGCCACATGACTTACCTTGCAAGAAGATTCTTTTCCAGTAGATTTTCCCAACGTCATTCCCCCCAAGAAACACCAGGTTGGACAGAATCAGCATTGATGTGGAGGCACCAGCCAGGGTAGCATGCAGTCGATGGCGAGCTTGCGGGGACAGATGCTGGGCCTGTCCCAAAACAACCAGGGAAATATTTCTTACTAAAGGTAAAAATCGCTAAGGCCCAAGAGCACTAGATTTTCAGTGAGGAAAGCTGGGTTGAAATCCTCGCTCTGCACCGGGTATTGAATGGCTACTTGCTAGCTCTCTGATGCTGGGCAAGACTAGTAACCTCTATCAGTCTCTGTCTCGCCATTCTTTGTGGAAATAATATAATACTGCCTATACCTTATAGGGCAGTCATGAAGATGGAACAAGGTCAGGTATATAAAGTACTTAGCAAATTTTAAAGTGCTGTAAATGTCAGCTTTTTAAAAAGTATCATTATTTACTACTTGTCAATTTTTAGCAATTCACTTTAACTCCCTGGGCCTCAGTTTCTTATTTGTAACACTAGATTCCTTAGAATTCTTCTACCTCTCAATTTTATGATCCTCTATAAACAGAGCTTTTATGATCCTCTATAAACAGAACTTTCCTTTAAAAAAAAAGATTTGTAATGCTATCTTTTGCTTTTACATTGCCTAAATTCCCTATCTTTTCCTCTTCCCTGAGTCAATCCATATACCAAAGAATTTTTTTAAAGAAAAATGAGAGGAAAAAAATTATTTAAAATCAATCAACATGTTGGAAAAAAAAATCTGAAGTCATGTTATACAATGTCCCAAGTAATGGATAGAGATCTGAGCCTGGAGTCAAGAAGATCCGAGTTCAAATTGAAAGAATTCAAAATTGAATAGTAAGTCCTATCCAAAGCTACCAAGCTGCAGTGACTTACCTTGTAAGAAGATTCTGTTCCAGTGGATTTTCCCAACATCATTCCCCCAAGAAACACCAGTTGGACAGAATCAGCATTGACATGGAGGCACCAGCCTCCTGGGCAAGTCACTTAACCTATGTCTGCCTGAGTTTCCTGACTGTAAAACGGGATAATAACGGCGCCTACTTTCCAGGGTTGTTGTGAGGATTAAATGAGATTAATATTTGTAAAGCACTTAGCATAATTTCAGGTACCTAGCAGATAATTAATAAAATCATAATAATATAATCAGGTTTGTTCTCTTCTCCCTTTCCCCCAAGAACCTTCTCACTTCTGCAGAGGGGGAGGGGGAATTATCTTCTCATATCTCTTCTTTGGGGCCAACCATGTTCTTTACAATTTTGCAACATTCAGTTCCATTTGTTTGGTGATGGTAGTGCTCTTCCTTTATATTGTTGTAGTCATTGTGTATGCTGTTTTCCTGCTTCTGCTTACTTCAGCCTTCATCAGTTCTTAGAAATCTTTCCACGCTTCACTCTATTTGTCACGTTTTATAATTTCTCATAGCACAATAATATTCCATTATCTTCATGTGCCACATTTTGTTTAGTCATTCCCTAACTGATGGGCATCTAGTTGTTTACAATTCTTTGCAGACCTTTTCTCTTAATATGTGTAATCTTTTTGGAATGTCCCTACTCTCACAGCAGTCAACTGATTCAAATGGCTATTAAAATTGTACCTCCTCCAATAAGTCTTCTGGGATTAATCTGAGGAGCAGAGATAATGTCTCCAAGTTCACTACCCCAATGCTTTCCATCCTCAAAATACACTTACCCTAGCCATGTCTATTATTTAGCTTATTTTTTCCCACTTCGCCTCTAGCTTCTCCACATGTCTGTGTCTAATTCCAAACTCTAGGGAACCAAAACTGTTCTAATAAATTTTTCTCTACAGTAACTAGCATAGCCTCATGTGATCTATGTTAGATGGCTCACTGAGTGAGAATATGGTGCTAATGAAGCCAAAATCATAATTCTGATCGACTCTACTCAGCCTTGCTCCTCAGATGTGGAAGGAACATAAATCCTATAGGGAACAAATGAGAGAATATGGATCTCATTCCCACTTCCAGAAAAACAGCTCAGAGAACATGTCACATTCGCATATAAGAAATGCCATATGGAAGATTATATACAAACAGGTGCTTTGATGAATGATTTTTTTTTGTTCTGATTATAAGTAACTCAGTTTGTTGTTACATTTTATAACTGACCTTGATATAAACACATCAAGAAACTGTGGTTTTTATCAGTGTTGGATAATTTTGATGTAGAAACTCTCCACTAACATAAACTGCAACCTATGACTTAGAATGTCATTCCTATGCAATTAAATCAAGGTTTTCTGACTCCAAGCTTAGTACTCTATTCACCATGCCATGTATTTTAAATTTGCAAAGCACTGTACATGTGTTATTTCATTTAAGCACTGCAACTATAAAGCAGATACTTTATGTCACAAGACACATTTAGAACAGATTTGGAAGATCTTTGACTCCATCTAGACTAACCCCCTCATTATACAGATGAGGAAACTGAGGCCAAGAGAGTTTTTCCAAGGTCACATAGGTAGTAAATGGTGGAAATATGATTTAAATGCAAATCCTCTGACTCCAAATGCAGCATTTTCCATTGTACTATGATGTTCTTGATATTGATATACCCCTTTTAGGATGAAGAAATGAGGTCTAGAGTAGGGGAGTGACTTGCCAATGGTCATCCAATTAGTAAATATCAGAAGGGAGATCTGAACCTAGATCTTCTTGATTCTAAAGAGAGAACCTTATCTACTAAGCTAGCCTGTCTCCCACCCCCCACACTAAAGTCCTACTCCAATGCTTTATCATCAAATTAAGAACCCTGCAGCAGAGCATAAGTGGGAGCAACCCTACAAACCTGTCGAGGTATCAAGTATGGGCCCAGTGACTGGATTGTACATCTGCTATCAGAGAACTAACTTAGTAAGTTTGGAGATGCTAATCACAAAATCAGCTTTAGGAGAGAGTGGAGTTTGGGGGCCACAAGGACACGAAAAGTCATTCCAAATCTAAGAGGAGTTGCACTGGTGACTTGCATAAGCAAACTTCCCAGAACTTGAAGTCATGAAGATATCTTTACTATAATTCACTCCCTTCCCTTCCTCCTTTTACATTATTCATTGGGATTCATAAAGAAAGCCAAGCTTTTATTTCTAAGCAACAGCTGTTCTGGTCACAGGCACCACATGTGTAATCACTAAATGTAAACAGAGGCTATCAGGATGCATCTGTGACAGCATCACCCCACCTGGCCCAGCCATGCTTCAGAATTTCATGCCTAGCATAAGGAATTCATATGGCTCAGCTCCCAGATGCCTCAGGTCCTCATGCTTTCTCCAAATATGCCAGACTAATCCAGAGACCTGATGAATAAAGGGAGGGAGAGAGGAAAGCGGACAATGTAAAGACATGGTAGAACCTAGTTTTGTCTTCAAGTCTATGGTGGGCTGTTCAGATGGACAATCGTGGGCTCAAGGCTCCTCAAAGTATGGAGGTCTCTGATAACCCTTCCTTCTTTTTTTTCAGAATCAAAGACTGGATCATAGCTGGAGGGACTTTGGAAGGTCATCTAATTCAACTCTTTTTTTTTCTTTTGCTTTTTGGCTAGGCAATGAGGTTAAGTGACTTGCCAGGGTCACACTACTAATACGGGTCAAGTGTCTGAGGCCAGATTTTAACTCAGGTTCTCCTGACTCCAATGCTGGAGCTCTATCCACTGGTGTCACCTAGCTGCCCCCTCAACTCTTATTACTACCAGTAAGAAACAGAGACTCAGAAGTGAAGTTCCTTGCCCAAGGTCACACAACTAGTAAATGGCATGGCCAAGCATAGAGCCCAGGTTGTCTGCTTCCAACTCCAATGTTCTTTCATTAAATCTTCTTCATCTATACTTCAATTGTCAGTGGGTTCCTCAGTTAAAAGATCACAACCCCACATGATTAACTGTATGTAGAAAGGGTTCTCTAACAGAATTCCCCAAAGCAACATGGTATCTTCTGCCTCTATGTCTTTCCAAAGGTTGTGCCCTATACCTTCTATGACTCTGGCTCTTGGAAATCCAGTGCCCTTCAAGGCTCAACTCAAGGGATAGCTTTCAAGCTTCTCCTGGACTCACTCCTGACTCTCCAAACTTCTTTCTCCACCATTTCCCAGCAGTTTTCTTACCCTGGAAGACTCCATGTACCCCTTGCATCCCCTTCCTCTCATTGGCCAGTTCATCTCAGAACCTCCATTTTTTAAAAGTGCCCAGGGCAGCCAAGATCGTCCCAGTCATCTCCCAGGGGCTCTGCTCCTGCCTCTCTGGACTTCTTTTTCTGCCATACCCCACTCAAGTCCCTTTACCCTCTTTCAGCTCTCTCTTAAGTGTTGTCTTCCTTCATTAGAATGTAAGCTCCATGAGGGCAGGATCAGTCTTTTTTTCTGTTGTTGTTTGTATTTGTATCACCAAAGCCTAGCACAATGCCTGGCACATAGCAGGTGCTTAATTACTGCTTGTTGAACTGACTTCAGTCCAAATAAGAGAACAAGGCTCTCAGAGAAGTTTTCATTTTAGCAAATTCTCTTGTGCATCATCTGTAGCAAATGTTGACTACTCATTGGCTTCCCCTTAAAAAAAAAAATTAGTTTTCTGTGCCCTGAATCCACACCACCTGGGTGGGTGGAGGTGATTGTAAGCTATGTGAAACATCAGAGGTAACCTGCCTGAGTTTATTAGTAGCTACTATTTATGGAGTGATTTAAGATGTGCAAAGTGCTTTGCGGATGCTATCTCAGATGCTCTTTGTGAACCCCTATGAAGTAGAGGCTATTGTAATCCCCATTTTACAGATGAGGAAACTGGGCTTAAAGAGGTTAGGTGACCTGACCAGAGTCACACAGCACATGACTGAGATGGGATTTAAACTCAGGTTTTCCTGACTCCAAGTCCAGCCCTCTATCCAGTGTACCACCAAGCGCCCTCACTTACAGAGGAAAGGAGTCAAAATGGAAAATTCCCACACAGATATTTGAGAAGGGATTATATTTCATAGGACCATAGAATCATAGATCATTAACTTGCAGAGAACTCAGAGGCATTTAATCCAATCTCCTCATTTTAGAGATGAGGATACTGAGGCACAAAAAATTCCCCAAAGTCACAGCTAGTAT